TACGACCTTGACGCCAAATTGAAACCCGGAATGTCTTGAACAACATAACGATTCTTGTCAAGAATTTTCGTAATCATATACGGGCCTCTGTAACTCGGCTTAAGTTTACTGTTTTGCTTCGGTTTCACTGCCGTATCTCTTATCAAAACATAATCTCCGATTTTATATTTTAACGGTCGCTTATGTTTTCGGTCATATACTGACTTATTATATTGTTTAATTTTGTCGGCCGTTTCTACCGCTATTTCACGATTGGCAAGTCGTTCTTCACACCAATCACGTGAGATGTCAGCCAGAGAATTAACGAATTCTACGATCTCTGTGNCCGACTGGTTTCTTAACTCGTAACCTAACAGTAACTTGGCGGGNGATGCTTTAACGCTCGAATGCACAGTATTATTCAAGACGTACTGCGCCGTATTCAACCGATTTTTCCANTCACATGGGTCATCCACTAACTTTTTCAATGTCGATTTTAAGAATCTGTTAACGCGCTCTACCAATCCATTCGCCCACGGAGCTGCCACCGCTACCATTCGATGTTTAACACGCGTTTCTTCGACAAACAACGCGAACTCGCTCGAAGAAAAAGCAGTGCCTCTATCTGAAACTAGATTCTTAGGATTGCCGAAAATACTAAACAGTAATCTGAGATGCTTTACAACCTCTTTAGTGCCCGTGGATCTCGTTGCAAAAAGCCACGTAAATCTGGTCAGAGCATCCACAACTACGAAAATATGCTTAAAACCATCCTTGGTTTCTTGCAAAGGCCCGAAATGGTCGACATGCAACGTACCGAAAGGANGCGTTTCATTTTCGACAATCTGCATCTCCCCTTCTCTAACTTGAGTTGACGTATTCGCCGTTAAGCAAGTCAAACAATTTGAAACATAGTCATATATTTTTTTGCGCATAGAAGGAAACCANTAGTTAGTAGATACCCCATGGAAAGTTTTTTCCGAGCCGCAATGCCCTAATTCGTCGTGATANGTTCTTATCACGTTGCATACCATTTCTTCCGGCACAACGAAACGCGGTTTATCCTCCCCTTTCCGGTATACAAGCCCTTCTATCAGTTGAAACTTCTCATGGTCGTCAAACTCCAAATTATTCGCTATCTTTTTAAGTTGAGGATCTCGCAATTGCTTAAATTCCAATTCCCGTTCAAGTGGCAACGCCTGTAATAACGCCACGCATCTACTTAACGCGTCTACATGCGCCATACGCTTTCCCGGTCGATGCCTTAAACGGAAACGGTAATTTTGGAGACGAAGCGTCCATCGTGCGATACGCGGATTGAGATTCGCCTTGTTCACTGCGTAGACTAACGCGTTGCAATCTGTGACCACTGTGAACTCAATGCCGTACAAATACAAATGAAAACGCTCGATCGCTTTGACCATCGCAAGCATCTCAAGCTCGAAACTATGATACTTGGATTCTGCGTTATTCGTAGTCTGACTATAATACGCGACCGGCGCCCATTGATTATCTTTCTGTTTCTGCAACAGTATCGCCGCTAAGCCAATGGCACTGGCGTCGATGTGCAGTTCTGTTTCTGCCGCCGGATTATANAAATTGAGAACCGGGTGCGCTGTCAGTTCTTTTTTAAGTAGCTCAAATGACTCTACGCACTCCCTCGAAAACTCGAAAAACAGCGATTTTTTAAGCAGATTCTGCAACGGTCTGGCTTTCTCTGCATAATTCCTTATGAATTTTCTAAAATAATTAGTTAATCCAAGAAAACGCTGCACCTCCGTCACGTTTTTTGGTCGCGGAAATTTTCTGACTGCCTCAGTGTGCCGGTCACTCATAGTGATACCTCTTTGCGATATTATGTACCCCAAAAATTCAATTTNATTTTTCAAAAACGAACATTTACCATAATTAAGTTCGAAATCATACNTTTTAAGTAGAAGCAGTACTTCGCGCAAAATTTCCAAATTTTCTTCTACTGTATCGGTCGCTATTAATATGTCGTCTATGTAGACGATTACTTTATCCTGTCTAATCAATGGTTGAAGAATATTTACAACTCTTCTTTGGAATTCGGCCGGAGCTTCGCAAAACCCGAACGGGAGTCTATCGAACTCNAACTGACCATCCGGCGTCGCGAAAGCGAAATATTTCGTGTGGTCAGCGTGCACTTTCAATTGATAAAACCCGTCTTTGAGATCTAATAACGTAAAAACGCTCCTATTGCCGATTCGCGTTAGACAGTCTTCTATTAATGGAAAGGGATATTTTTGCTTAATGGCCTTCTCATTTAACGGACGCAAATCCACACACAAACGCATGGTGCCGTTCTTCTTCCGCACCGGCACTACCCTGGCGCAATACGGAGAAGTACTCGGTTTAATTATTCCTCGATGTAAGAGATCGTCAGTAATTGCTCTTATCTGAATTCTTTCAGACCACGAAAAACGCCTAGGTGCGTAGGCATACGGTATGTTATCTTTTAATGCAACCGTAACGCGATGACCGTCATCTATTTTCGGAACGTCTGCGTGATATATTTCCCTTAATAATGTTTGCAACCGTTCTCTCGCGTCTTGATCAAAATCTACTTGAATGTTATTCAAAATCGATTCGAAAGGATCAACAANATCACACACGAGTTGCGGTAAGACGTCCGGAAAAACAAACACATTGTCTCTCTCGTCCTTAACGGTCGGCTGATATAACACCGCGAGTTCATGTTTTTCNAGCAAGTCCCGACCGATCACAACATCTACATCAAAAGCACTTCGAGCCAACACGTGCAAATCTACCTTGAAAAACACATCAGGCAGTTGTTCCAATGTTATCTCCGTGTGTACCTTCCCGATTATCTCTATCGGTGTATTATTCAACGCGTGATAGGCAACCGTTGACTTAGACAAAGTCGAAAAACAATTTTCAAATTTCGAATACACTTCGCCTCTAACAAAGGAAACCGGGCTACCAGTATCGATTAATGCCAACAATTTACAGGGCCGCGAATTTAACCGNACTATTTTAACCGGTGAGCCATTAAAAATAATTTTCCTACCATTAGACGCAGAAACAAACGCAACCGTTGACGGGGATTCCTTCTTGGCCTTCTCCTGCACTGCGGACACCGCTGCCGATGAAGCCGTCTTCGACGATCCTGCTTCGTCCTGCCGCTTCAGCCATTTCGGACATTCGGACTTCCGATGCCCCTTTTCCTTGCAGAAAAAACACTGTATTGCCCGTGAGGTTTCCGCGCCACTCCTGTTTGATTCATTTTTCTTGCCTGGCGTCTTTCCGTAGTCCTTTGACTTCGNCGATGCGCCTCTCTTGTCCACCTCAGATCCAGTGGCTGATGTGACGGCTTGCATCTCTTCTAAGAACTCGTCAACTGAGCGCGCTCTTAACGAAGTTGCCGTTCCTCTTAAAGAGCGGCTGTTGATTCCATTTATCAACAAATGGATTGTCTCTCGTGTCGACAAATTGAGCGGGTATATCAGCGCTAATTTATCTAGCACATAATCGCGAAATGTCTCTTTCACGAAACTCCACTTCCGCGCCTCCACTNTCTGCAGAGCGACGTGGAAAAGTATCTTTTGCTTGAACGTTCTGCTTATGGCGTCTTTGAAGCCCGGCCACGACTCCAACATCGCACCTGAGCCATATTCGAACCATCTTTTAGCCGCACCCGTCAACTTATTTATCGCGGCTAAGTATATTACACCTGGTGGAGCTGCATGGATATCCGCCACTTTCTCAATACGTTGAAGCCACATCTCCACATTATCCGTCTCTGAGCCGGCAAACTCCGGAATTTGCGATGCCAGCAAACTCACCGCCTGCGCAGAGGATACTGAAGAAAGCGAAAGTTGCGTCTGAGAATTTGATGCACTTCTATGACTCTCAACGCTGATTGACAGAGACCGTTCCTCCTGTGGCACCGCCTCCACCCTGGGCTGACGGCCTGCCACTCCACTGTTTGTATCTCGCAATGTCGCCAAAATCTGCGTTAGCACTTGCTGCTGCTGTTGCATCTGCAGCGCGAGCGTGGCACATATCTGTTGTAACGAGGCCGCGCCGTCGGAACCATCGGCCGACGAAGAGCTACCGGTCATCNTCGTGCCCGTCGCTGAGGCTGTCCTCGCCTCTTCTTGCGACGCACTGGACGCTCCNCCGGTCACCGCTCTACGCTCCATCAATGTCATGATCGCATCTATAATATATTCGCGATCATCCGACACCGGAGCGCCTAGGCGACGCGCCTCCTCTTTCAGCTGCGCCAAAGAGAGATTTTCCAGCTCGTGTCGTTCCATTTTCAATTGACGTCGTGCGATCGCTCGTGTCACCGGCATACACTCAAAAAATGCCTTGCTTCAATTACTATTATTAACACTGCAACGAAACAGTACTGCGCGACACGAAACCGTAAAATCGCGAACGCCTACGAATCTACTATCACTGTGTTCTTGCCAGTCTTAATTTCTAAGTTTACTTTTGACGAAAAGAAAAAAAATAAACCCGTTCATCTAATCCCACTTCTGAAAAATATAGTCTGTAAGGAATGACCGGGGTTGATTAAATAAATTGTTCAGTTAATGTTCAAGTAACACAGTAAAGAATTATAGTTTATTCACACGATTAGTAAAGACTTAGAAAAAGTAAGAGCTTATACAAAAAGGNACGACACGGAAAACGATCTCCGTTCGTAGATCAGGCGACAACGCAAATACTTGTTAACAGCTGATTTCTCGGAAATGCTCTGCTCAGCCAAAACGTTATCGCTCCCGAGGAAGGCTCGCACGTGAGCGCTGNATCCCGCTCTCACAGATACCTGTCGAAGAGCGATTGGGCCACGCAATCATCGGGTAACAAACATGTTTATCATCGCGGCTCACGCGACCTCAAGATCAGCTGTATTATGAAAAACACGACTAGATAAGCTTACAGAACTGCAAAGCACGGTGGAAAGTAGATACTGCGTTTATCCTGTCTACACAACAGGATCTTGCACGTTTTCGCACGTTCCCGCGCATCAAATACACCGAACACCGAATAAAGAATGATTGGTTAAGAATGTCAGAAGATAAATACACCGGCACTTAGTTGCAGTATAAGTATATTTTAACAGAGAGATTAAACCACACTTTTAACAAGACCACACTATCGACAAAGAGCTGCTGATTCGAACGTGATATATAATTTGCGCGTATATCTGTTCTACTTCAGCGCGGGAACGACATTGGTTTGAGCAACGAGCCGACGCGAGCTCGTAGCCTCGCACAAGCTCAAAAAATTTTGGAAACAAGTTCACGTATTCAATGTATGTTACACGAAATTTGCTGGCTAGAGAACGTCGACAGAACTGCGTATATCTTGTCTTATTCTAGATTTTATTCTACACATGGAAGAGGACAAAAGAGAAGATTTGTTATAACAGCCAGAAATTGTGGCCCAGCAAAGCTGTAGCCGTAATATACGGACAATGGGTTTCTGTGTTACAATAGCTAAGGTGGTAATGCTGCATAATATTAAGAATTGTAACTAATAGACTTTAATATGATAACATAGCAGATTTGCTGAGGCAATAAAGAAAATTGTAAAGCTTGCAATTTTTAGCAAAATATATTAGGTGATATACCACATTGATTTGCTGTGGTAAAGACAATATGTTATATTGGGTCGGTGGAAAAGTTTTGCGGATTTTTTAATAGATGACACTAGTGTCAGAAAATAATTATCGCGTGTCGTTCAAATGTCAGTCTGCCGCACATATTTTGACAAGTCACACTACGCTTGACATTTGGCAGAAGCGTTTGTTTTGGTCGGACGTGTTTTGCGTGTACGGCATACAACTAAAATGGAAGATCAAAAATTGCATTTTCGCCATATTTTGCTGTTTTTATTTCGTAAAGGATATAAAGCGGCGGACGCTAAGCGCGAAATATGCGCCATGTATGATGCCTCGGCCTTAAGCGCAGACACATGCGAAAGATGGTTTGCTCGCTTCCATTCCGGGAGAATTTAACCTCCAAGATGCACCACGCTCTGGACGGACAAATTCTGTTGACGACGACCAACTTCTGGCTACAGTGAAGAGTGATCGACACTTAACACGACTCGAAAGATTGCGAAGCGCTTCGGCATTCATCATACAACCGTTATGGATCGATTAAAAAAGCTTGGCATAGTGAAAAAGCTTAATGTATGGGTGCCGCACGAACTGAGCGAAAAGAACATCATGGATCGGATTTTAGTGTGTGAATCTCTCCTGAAACAAAAACTCTCTAGACCCATTTCTGAAACGGATCATCACTGGAGACGAGAAATGGGTTGTCTACAACAACATTAAGCGGCGGAAGTCGTGGTGCGGTCCGGGCGAGTCTTCACAAACGGTGGCAAAACCTAATTTGCATCCACAGAAAGTAATGCTATGTATTTGGTGGGACTATAAAGTACTGTGGTTCGAGCTGCTCCCGCAGGGCCAAACAATAGATTCGAAGAAATACTGCGCTCAGCTCGACAAATTGCGCAAGGTAGTGCAAAAGAAGTGGTCAGAATTGTCGAATAGAAAAGGTGTGATTTTCTATCATGACAACGCTCGACCACGTACTTCTTTGATCACGAAAAAAAATTGCAGAGCTTTAGCTGGGAAATGATGCAGCACCCCAGGTCGCCGGACCTTGCACCGTCTGATTATCACTTGTTTCGCTCGCTGCAAAACAATGTTGACGGTCATCAATTCGACTCAATGGAGGCCATCCAAAATCACCTTGTTGATTTTTTCGCCTACAAGTCCCAAGGGTTTTACGAGAGCGGGATCAAGGCCCTACCGAAACGTTGGCAACAAGTTGTAGATCAAGACGGTCAACACATTGTGGACTAAATTAATTTTTATAAATGTCAATTTTGTGTTTAAATTTTATACTAAAAATCCGCAGAACTTTTCCACCAACCCACTACTAACAAAGTTGATTACAGCAAAGCATTAGCTTCTGTAACAATATAAGCTAGCTACAAACAAATAAGCAGATCATGGATTTAATTTTTTTTAATTTTTTTATTTTAAAGTGTCGTTATCGTAATATAATTCAGTAATATAACGTTACGTTTAATGTAAATAACAAATTTTCATTATATGTAATTTTATATATATATATGTTATTATTATAATTATATGTGTTATATATTATATATATAATTATAATATATAATGTCATGACATATATAATGTCTATATTGAAGAGCTGAGCAATCCTTTACCAATAAGTTCCCATAAAAATATTTATAATGAAAATTATGTTATTCCACGTTTAATGTAAATCAAAAATTTTTATTATGTGTAATTTTTTTTTCGTTCCTGAAAATCTTATTTCATAACCTCGAATATGTTCGTTAAATCCTAGAGTTATCAAAAAGCACAATTTCTGGCTGTTATACGAAGAAATAAGATTTCTTCGTATGGTTTGATATTTGATTAAAATTTTACCTCTCCCAATTGTTTTCATTTTCTTATTTTTTTTTTTTAAGTATCCAAGTGTCCTAATAAGTAACGAAAAGATAATTATTTTTTCTGTAAAAATTATATAAAAATTTTTTCTTTCAAGTGGAAAAAATCATATATTGTACAAATAAAAAAATTTACCTTGTCTTCTGTTGGAAATAACTATTATTTTTTCTGCTAAGAAACTTGCACGTTCAGATGTAACTCTATAACATACATTATTGCATCATTATATAAGTAATACATCTTCTAATCTTACTCTGTTTAAGTTTATTTCATAAAATATACCTAGCATCTAAATTATCTTTAAGTTCTAAATTTACAATATCAGCTAAAATGTTCCTGTGCTTTTCATCCAATTCTCCTTGAGATTAATATGCAGATAGAACAGTTTGTCCTAGAACTGAATCTTTTAAAATTTTTTCTAAGTCCTGTAAAAAAGTTTAATCATTTAATTATTTAATTTAAAAATTTTTATGCATTTTATTCTACATACATACATATAGTTTGTTTATATATCGTACATAAATAAATAAATAAAAGAATAAATAGTCAAATATGTACATAGTTTTTATCATAAAGTGAATATTTCTTTTGTTTTGTGTCACATTGTGAATGTGTGGACGTTGATGCTACTGCCACTGTTAAATCAGATGAATCTGTATATTGTGGTTTTTCAGTATTAAGATTACTAGAATATGTGTGTGATGAAGCCAGACTTATAAGGAATGTGCCTTCATCAACAAGCTCATGTTGATCATCTACTGTTTTCTGTTTTTTTCTGCTTGGTTCTTCACTTTCAGTGACATTTCTGGTAAATTCTGACATATATTAAAAAACAAATGTTATATTCTTTCAATAAAACATACAGAAATATAATAAATTATAAATTAATGAAAGTAAAATTATATATATCTACAAATTAAAGATACAATACATATTTTATAATAAAAAAGTACGTGTCTTAATATGACTAATTAGTAATTATTAATCTTTTATGTAGTGTTTCACCGTTGTTTGCAGATAGTGAGCCAGTGTCAATAATAAATATGCTGTTATTAATATATTTATTTACGTTTTGTAATATATATATATTATTTTTTGTATCTTCTCCATTATTTTTTATAACAGAAACTGTTGTTTGACTACTGCTTGCTTGCAACGTATGCTTTGCTTCAGTAGTGTTCAAAAATTTTTTTAGGTTTTCGCGAAACACAATTTGTATTCCAAGTTTTGGTATTAATAATTTAATATCATCGTCATTTAAGTATTTCAGTATTTCTAATTTAATGTCATTTTCTGTAATTAGTTTTAATAAACTATTAAATATTAGAAACGCAAAAAAGTAAAGTATTATATAAGATAAGATACAACAAATAAATATAACAAAAATAAAATATTCTGATAATGTGTAGCAGAAAAGGTTAGAAATATTTATATTTTATACTCACTTTCAAATTTCTCAATGACATCTTCATCGAAGTCCCATTGTTCGAGCAATTCTCGTATATTTTTTACACTATACATCTTTTTGTGAGTTTCCACTTATATTCCACTGTTTCACTTACACTGAAAAATGTCGAAACCGTGTTATTATGTATCGGAATGTAACCACCGGTAATATTACACGTAGTAACATGTTTTATAGTTAAAATTATTTAAATACATATTATAAAAGTATATATTTTTTTTTTTTTTTTTTTTTTTTTTTATTGTAGAGACAACAATTGTAATAAATATTCACTCTATAGCTGACACTATGTTCACTCACTATGTTCACGTTTGGCTAATAATTTACCTACGTACTTAACG